CTGAATAAATAGATATCCTCAATATCAGGATGAAGTTTCTCATGAGATTAGAGGCATCAGACATATTAATATTTTTAAGCTAATACATATAATTAGCTTAAAAAATATATAAAATATATAAATAGCCTGCAGGTTCTGACCGGTGTGGCAAAGAGGAGGATGAAGAGGCCAACCTGAGGGGGAAGGAGGGAAGGAAGAGTCGATGAAAGAGTGGAAAAAGACATGGAGATGGACAGACAGATAGACGGGGACGATGAAGGGTGTGACAGAGATGGACCGGCTTCGTCCGAGACAACGGATCGCCACGGCGACCCGCCTGTCAATCAGTCTGTCAGCCGCATCCACTCCTGGCCCCATTACTGCGCTCTACCTCAGCCGGACACGCACAATGGCTCTCCTGTGTGTGAATACATGCGTGTGTCCCAAACCCACACGGCCATTAACAGGTAACGGAGCAGACCCCACAGCCCCCCCGACCCCTTCTCCTCATTTTCTGACGCACGTAGGAGTTTGTCGGTTCCCACAAAGGCATCTCAGTGACACAGGACTCTTTTTGAAGGGGCACCGTGGAGAATACATTAAGGTCATCCATTTGCAACAACGAGGTTCGCTTGTTTCCTCGCGCAAATTAGATCAAAGTCATTATTACTCACTGACGTTCCTTCGGTGGGAACAAAACTTCTGAACGCAGAACAGAGAGGAGAAAAGAAACGTGGACCGTGCGACATTAATGCTGAAGGACAGGAAAAGCCTCGTTAAAATGTTTTCAGGGGATAAACAAAGGTGAAATTCTATGAAGCTTGAACCCTGAATTTGTGTGTGTTTATGAGTGTGTGCATGAAGGTGGGTGGGTGATATGTGAGCGTGTGTAGTGGGGGTGGGGTGGGGGGTGGGGGGGTTAAAGCAGAGATGAAAGGGCAGCCATTGCCTGCTGATGACTGATAGCATTCAGCAGGGCTTTAGCTGATGTCCGTCTGATAAGACAGAGGACAGCTCAGTTGGTCTTCAGACTAGACAGAGCAGCCAATCAGGAGCCAGCAACTCAACCCAACAGTAGCTCGGGTTTATCATATCTGTGTAATTCTTCAGATTAGTACAGCTAAAACCCAGATTCTTGTGGCAGAGGACATTTGCCTTACAGCTTTTGGGTTTCTCCAAAACAGTTCACCTGGCATAAATTAGTTATGTGTGCAAAAAAACAAAAAGATCTACTGGAGTAAAGTTGATATTTTTACATTTTTAACCACCTCCTGGCTCTTACATTGTCCTGGCCCAACATTTAGGTTTGGTGTCTTTACATTGGGTGGTCCCATCCACTTTCAGCTCTACTTTTAAGGCTTCTGCAAGATCAGCTCTAGTCATAAAAGGGGGGAAAAACTTTTTTAAAAGCCAACATTTTGTTTTCAGTCCAAGCAGTGACTGGTTTATGCCCTGCTTTAAAAAAACAAAAACCTCTCCAACGGTAAAACAGGGGAAACAAGTGGAAGAGGGGGTCAAAGGTCATATGATCCCAGTAAAAGCTGTCTCCATACGTTTTGTAGGCCACAGCAAAACAGCAGGAAAACAAGCATCAGAACAAAAAACACTTTGCAACACATTTTTTTAGAGGATGGAATAATGTTATTTGTCCATTTTGTTGCTTTAGTGCAGGGGTCTGCAACCTTCATGATCAAAAGAGACATTTCTGCTACTTGGCTCAATAATTAAATGTATCCAGAGCCGCAAAATAAGCTTCAACTGTGATTATCAACTGGTGGTCCGTGGGCCTTTTTGAGGCCTTTTCAGGAACCTTTACAGCCAGTGGGGATGAAATTATAAAACTAAAAAATATTTAATGAATTTGATTATTTATTATTATTTTTTCACATCAGGACAAATGAAAAGACCACATTCATGTAAACAAGAAAAATACTGAACATAGTTTATATGGAATTTCATAAAAACTAATACGACTGATCTATTCAGGCATATTTTGTTTTTCTACTTCTTATTATTATGTAGTCTTTAAATACTTTAAAGGGAATTCCAATGGATTTGAGAGAAAGATCACAGAAAGAAGTTGGATCGTTTACGTAAACAACACGCTAGCATGAGCTAACATGTTTTACTTTTTGATCACATATTTGATTTCTGTTTTGAGTATAAAAACAAAAAAGGGAAAAAAATTGGTTATGTTTGGTCACATTTTCAAAGAGCCAAGAGGGACCAAAGAGCCACATGTGGCTCCAGAGTCGCAGGTTGCAGACCCGTACTTTAGTGCAAATAACTCGACTTGTACAAAATAAACCTGTTAGTTTGGATAATTTTTTAAGACAAATTTTTTTAAGCAAAAGTATTTGATGTCAAACTTCACTGTTAGATCCAAATGTTCAGATGTCTCAGACGACGCATTCTGAGTGCAACCACTTTGCTCCAATTCTTTCACTGTCTTGTGATAAACTCATGGCTCTATGATCAGTTTTATAAATATAATTCTCAATTTCAAAGCCCATGTTCATCAGTCCGTGAACAGCAGGTGCACGTTAAGACGAGAACAAACAGGAGACAAGTCCTTCAGCTGATAACTCAGGGTTCAAAAGCAAACTGGAACTTCAGCCATTTTCTGCCAGAAGCGGGGGATGAAACCTGTTCCTACCAGGCAGACGCAGGTGATGCAGGGGTTGTCAGTGATGTTGGGGATGTGGAGGACTTCTCCTTCATTCTCACAGCTGGCTTCTGTACCTGCGAGGGACAGGAGGAGCGTGAGAGGCAGGACAGAAAAAAAAGATTCTGCTTTTCTGATTCAGATCTAATCACCCATTGAGATCAGCCTGACAAATAATACTTTTCACACACCAAACGTTAACTCAACATCTGTGAAATTAGCTAGGTTTCAGCTACATTTGCTTATCTGTTGCAGCTATCATGAACTGCACTGACTGAACTATCGTCTGCTCTATGTACGGTGAGTGGTAGCATCAGGTGCATAACTTTTATAAAATTGTATGTTTTTGTACTTTTATGTGTCCAGGTTAAAGCAGTGCCATTCCAGCCCAGCTCCTACAAACACGAGTCGTCCACTTGGTTCACGAGCGCAAATGTAATCCGAACCGACGAAGAGGAAACGACCCCAAAAAAACACAGGAGTTTATGGGCAGAAACAGGCAGATGTCAACATCTCTGAGCCAACACTTCCTGCTGCTCTACAGAGGAAGAACAAGAAAGAAAAGTGCTCCAGACCGACGCTCTGATGTTTACTCATCCGTCAGATCTGTTTCATACAGAGGCCCCCCCCACCCGCGGTGACAGTGATGGGGGAAAAATATTATCGCATGGCAACGAGCTGATGTGAAGCTGCAGATGTGGGAAAGATATTAGGATGTGGCTTCACGTTTATTCCTGTTTAGCCAAGAGCTGCTGTAATAAGTTGCACAGCATGGGAGCTGGCAGGGTGCTGTCCGTTTCAACGCTGGAGCTACTGAAGACAGTTGTTTCTGATATGACTTTAAACAGGGTTAGAGGTAGGGTGTAAGAAAATATCGATACACTGAAATATCGAGATATTTCATTTCCCGATACTGTATCGATATTCTGAAGCCCTGTAACGATTTTTTATTAAGGTTTAAAATGTCAACTTTCCTGCCAGCCGTTCATTTTTATGTTGTAGTTCAGCCTCTGACCACTAGTTGGCAGCAGTGAACCAGCCATTTGGCTCCTCTACCTCTTGAGCACCAGAGAGTAAGGGTAGCATTAGCATTG